GAGAGGTCTAGTCATACATTAAATGAGACATACCGAGAGGTCTAGTCATACATTAAATGAGACATACCGAGAGGTCTAGTCATACATTAAATGAGACATACCGAGAGGTCTAGTCATACATTAAATGAGACATACCGAGAGGTCTAGTCATACATTAAATGAGACATACCGAGAGGTCTAGTCATACATTAAATGAGACATACAGAGTGGTCTAGTCATACATTAAATGAGACATACAGAGTGGTCTAGTCATACATTAAATGAGACTACAGAGTGGTCTAGTCATACATTAAATGAGACTACAGAGTGGTCTAGTCATACATTAAATGAGACTACAGAGAGGTCTATTCATACCGGTACATAAATGAGACTACATAGAGGTCTAGTCATACATTAAATGAAACTACAGAAAGGTCTGGACATACATTAAATGAGACATACAGAGAGGTCTACTGATGCACTTAATGAAACTACAGAGGTCTAGACATGCATTCAATGAGACTACGGATAGGTCTAGTCATACATTAAATGAGACTACGGAGAAGTCTAGTCATACATTAAATAAAACTACAGAGAGGTCTAGTCATGCACTAAATAAGACATACAGAGAAGTCTAGTCATACACTAAATATGACTACAGAGAGGTCTAGTCATACACTAAATATGACTAAGAGAGGTCTTGTTATACACTAAATATGACTACAGAGAGTCCAGTCATACATTAAATAAAACTACAGAGAGATCTAGTCATGCACTAAAAAAGACATACAGAGAGGTCTAGACATACACTAGATATGAATACAGAGAGGTCTAGTCATACACTAAATATGACTTCAGAGAGATCTTACAGACACTTCTGTTATAAAACGAGACCACAGCTCCCCTATTCACATACACTCACAGATCAGGTAGGTTACATACACTCACAGATCAGGTAGGCCACATGCACACTCACAGATCAGGCGGGCCACAGCAACATACAAGTCAACGTTGAAAATGATAGTTTAAAACTGTTATTCAAATAAACAGACCGTTATTTCATGCAGTGCGGTGGGAAGGGGCTGCTCGGGTTTTTGGGGGGGGGGGGCAGGGGCGGGCCCCATTTTTTNGCAGCACAAGTCTTTGCCTGGTCCCGTGTGGTCTCCAACCCTACTTACGCCACTGATTTGATGTGCCTGGATACAAATATATAGTCAAGTGAAGTGTACTCAGAGAGGTTATAAGCAATAAATCGCGAAAAAAAAAAAAAAAAATAATGATAAAAGGAAGGAATAGGAAACGCAAAATTATAATGCAAAAAAAAAAGTATTTAAGGATTTAAAAAAAAAAAAACGTCATAAAAATTGGTAAATAAAAATTGTATGAAATACCCGGATGCTAAGGAGTGAAAACAATATTGTGGCTATTATTTTGAAAATCCTTTAACCCTGTATGTCCTTGTATCATGAATGATACTTACGCTCTTTGAAGACGGGCATATTAAAAAGCTGTATCGAACTTTCAATCTGATTAGTGAACCAAAGATTGAGCAGATGTCTGGCCAGACATTGACTCTGATGGTGATAACTCGGGATTTACTCGGGACAGGTTCAAGCTTCCTCGGATTAAGTTAAACCCCCTTGGTGTATCTCTCCCAAACATCAATATCTTTTTTTTTTGCAAATTTTTTTCATTAACTCTGTAATCACAGTAAGACTACAGGTGTTTAACAATGTTGAAATCTCGGGTTCGCGAAATGCTACAAAGCTGAAGTTTGGGGCGTATCTAGGGCCGGGTCTCGGGGGTTGGGGGGGGGGGGTGTCATTTCAACGTTCAAGAATTTAGTTGTACCATGAAAAGCTATTGCGAAATATTTCCAGTTAAATGTTAAATCGGGTTTGAAACCATGATGGCGGCATCAAAGGAATGAATTGGGGAAAAGGGCACCTGCTTGTATAATGTTTTCAAGCTTACAATGCTTAGAAATATTTCATTTTATAAACCACTATCACTAACTTTTCAGTTTACAATAATAGCCAACCATCTCTCTCTACCATTTCATTCTACCATCTTACTTTACCAACACCTCACTCTGCACTCTTATTCTACCATCTCAACCTACCATCTCGTTCGACCATCTCATTCTACCATCTCATTCGACCACCTCACTCTGCCATCTCATTTTACCATCTAATAGGCCTACTTACTAGCCTACTACCATCTCGCTCTACTATGTCGTTCTACGATCTCATTATACCATCTTCTTCTGCCATCTCACGCCACCGTCTCAACCATTCTATCTCATCGTCTTTTGTCTATAGCTGCACCGAGGCTGTCATGCAATCTACGACCTTGCCATGACCAGGTCTTATCTGTTAGCAGCTGCCTCTTCAAGAAACATTGTAGACGATGGAGAAATTTTTATACAGACTTAAAAAATATATAAAGATAACGTTATTTTTATTATTATTATTATTTTTTTTAAACTGTCAACATCGTTTCTACTTTTATAGAGGTGGGAGACTCATAAGCCATATACGCGGTGTTCAGGGGTGGACTGGGG